TTTACTGGGAATTGAACTCAGGACCTCACACCTACAAGGCAGGTGCTGTGCTGCTGAGCTATATCTCTGGCCCTTATATGGGTCATTCCTTTTTGAAGTTCTGGCTAATCCATCATGGCTAAAAATGTTATATTCTTTTAAAACCACAAGGTAGATTTTGTTTAATTTTTTTTAAGTGTGGGTTGAACCCAAGGCCTCACATATGGTAGGCAAATGCCCTGCCACTAGGCTATCCCCTCTCCCCTTGTTTAAATTTTTCATTAAATATTTTTGAAATGTAAAATGTTTTTCATTTTCTTTATTGTATCATCAATAAAGTATTTGTTTTAGGGATTTGAGGTGCATTTTTGGGGAAACAGACTCATGATATTTTTTGAAATGTATCTTAGTGATATTTGCAAACATTCTTTATTTCAACTATTAGCATTATTGCTAATTCCTATGAAATATGTAAGTTTTTGAGTTACTGTCACTATAGCAAAAACAATACTAACATTTTGGGTTGAAATCATCAAAGTAGGAGCTGGGGATTTAGCTCAGCAGCACAGCGCCTGCCTGGCAAGCGCGACATTGTGAGTTTGATTCCCGGTACCGGAAAAAACAAAACAAAACAAAAAAAGAAATCATCAAAGTGTATATATTAAAAATTCAAATTTTGGAATGATTTTGCACAGTATTAAAAACTGCTCACCTGCTATATTCACTTTTGCATTGTATTAGAAGATATCTAGGCTGAATTTTATTATTGATATCATTTCAGAAGATTTGTGTTTATGATTCAGAAGGTTGGTAGTCATGATATTTCTTTTTCTTTTCTTTGAGACAGGATCTTGCTATATAGCCCAGACTGGCCTTGAACTTCCAGTGATTCTTCTGCCCCAGCCTCCCAAGTGCTGAGATTACACATGTGCACCTGGTTTGGTAGTCATAATATTTATAAAAACTTCAGGAGGGCTGAGTGTGGTGACACACCCCTGTAATCTCAGCACTTCCACCTGAAGCAGGATAATCAGGAGTTTGAGACCTAAACAAAGACACACTCTGTAGCCTGAGCTACATAGTGAGTTTAATGTCAGCGTGGACTATACAGTGAGACACTATCTCAAAAAAAAAAAAAAAAAGCCAAACAGCAACCACTACAACAAAAACATTACATATCCAAAAAAAATTTTTTAATGGTACTGGGCACTGAACCCAGGGGCTTGGGCTTGCTAGGCAAGTTCTGCCACTAAGCTACATTCCTAGTGCCCTGTCTCAATTCAACTTGATTTGGAAACAGGGTCTTGCTAAGGTATCCAGGCTGGCCTCAAGCTTAGTAACCTCCTGTGTCAGCCTTTCAAGTAGCTGGGATTGTAGTCATGCACTACTATACTCAGCTTTCTTTTACATGTTCATTTTATATATTTTATTGTATATTTACCCCATATTATATGGAATATGGAAATTGCATATTTATTCCATTTTTTCTTGAATATTTAAATCCCAAATATTGCACCCAAACTCTTCACAAGAATTTCAAAGCATCAGCAGTGTAATCAAAGTGGAAACAATAGAACCAAAATAGAAGCAATAGCAATGATGTAATTAGAAGATAATAAATTCTTCTTACTCCTTGAATGCCTCCGCCTGCTAAACAAAACATTGCTCACTTTGTAGCCTAGGCTGGTCTCGAATTTGCAAGGATCCTCCTGCCTCAGCCTCCCGAGTGCTGGGATTACAGGCATGCACCACCATGCCCGGTAACATTGCTCACTTTGATTTTCATTGAAAGCCCTTGACCATTAGAAAATCCTACAACATTTGATCAGCTAATGAGTTTGTATTAGCCATTAATGTTAGCTGTTGTTGCAGTAGCTATTACACTATTAATGGGTACAGAAATATTTTTAATAGTTTATCATATGAACATACACATATATACATACATACAATACAGTAGTAGGGCAGTAGAGGACAATGAAAATGAATAAAGCTGACAGTTTAATTTCAGAGGCAAACTAGACATCTTTCCTTCCTTCTATTCTTCAATAAAACCGAAATTCTAACTATGATGAACACTGTAGGATACCCGTTCAGTTCCTGATCCTGGGGAATAGCCTCTGTCGTCTAACACACCTACTGGCTGTGTTGGGAGCAGCCAAAGTTATATGAGGCAGCCCAGTCTCCTTGCACTTCACTCCCCAGCTTTAGATGTGTTGTTGATTGCCTGACTGAAGTTGATGAGAACCCCTTTCTTAAAGATTTGGATTTGGGACTGGCGCCTGTCAGTGCTCATCTTTCAGTCATGTGGGAGATCTGTGGCCAGAGAGGAGTGGAGCAGGTACTCAGTAGTCCTGTGTGCGTCCCTGGTTCTTTTGGTAGTTTGCTTTGGAGGCTCTGCCTGGGAACTTTGAAAGGCAAACCTGTCTCTTTATCTCTAGTCTTTTTTTTTTTCTTTTAAAAAGAACAAAAACAAAATAACAAAAACAAAGACAATAGCACTCTAGAGGCTGAGGCAGGAGGATCCTTGCAAGTTTGAGAGCAGCCTAGGCTATAAAGTGAGCTCAAGGCCAGCCTGACCTGTATAGAGACCCTGTCTCAAAAAGACAAAGAAAATAAAAAAACAAAAACAAAACAACACAAAAACTATTAACAATGATACAGAATTTCAAAACAAAATGATGGGAAATCAACAATGATTATTGTATTATCTATTGTTATCTTCAGAGCAGTTGCTCAGATTACCAGATACAGGTATGCAAAGTCTGATCAGACAAACATTAACTGTTCCTTTCAATAAACCAATAGAAATTAGTAGTACAATTATCCTAGCTATCTTGTGTATACATACATGTATATTTTTTTCTTTCCTTCTTTCTTTCTTTTCTCTTTTCTCTCATCCCAGTTGTTCTTTTCTTTTGAGACATTTCTTTCCCTTTCACAATATCTGTTGTACCTTTCAGATTTTATTTCCTCTTTCAGGTTCTTATACTAGGGAGACTATGTGGTGTTTACACATGCAATGTAAAGCCTTAAGACTGGAGCTTAGTGAGAGGTCTTTGGAGGTGCTGCCTTGGAAGGGATTCATGTAGTTCTCTTGGAACACAGTGTTCTCCAGAGGGAGTTGTTACAGCAAAACTGGCTCCTTCTCACTCTGTGGTTTATTTCACTTACGAGTATGGTCTCTAGTTGCATCCATTTACCCATAAAAGCCTCGAGCTTATCTTTCTTTACATCTGAGTAATACTCCCTTGCATAAAAGCACCACATCTTTTTTATCTGTTCTTTATTTTATCACAGTTGATGTTTATTATTTGCAACCCACAAAGTCCTAACTGAACATTTAATTAACAGAGCTTCTCTTACTCCCACCACTGCTTTTCAGTCATGACCTTCAAGGTCAACCTGTGAATATAAGGCACAAGATATGTCCACTTTAAGGGCCTACAGGTGGCTTTATTTATTTATTTATTTATTTATTTTTGGTACTAGGAATCGAACTTAGGACCTTGTGCTTGCCAGGCAGGCACTTGTGCTGTTGAGCTATATCCCTGGCTCACAGGTATAGTTGGGAGTGGTGGTATATGCCTGTAACTCCCTCACTCAAGAGGCTGAGGCAGGAGGATTTGCCATGAATTCAAGGCCAGCCTGAACTACATAGTGAGACCCTCTCTAAAAAAACTTGAATACATACATACAAATCTCAAAATTATGTATATATACATTTTGGTAGTCAGGATTGATCCCAAATTGTATATTAATTATGATTAGCTTTAGTTTCTAGCAGAGAAGTCTTGTGAATGGGAGTTCAGGCCTTTTTTTTTTTGGTTTTTTTTTGGCAGTACTGGAGATTGAACCTTTGCATTGAGCCACATATGCAGCCCATTTATTTTTTTTATTTTTTTTTGTTTTGAGACAGGGTCTCACTAAGTTGCTAAGTTGCCTGGGCTGGGCTCGAACTTACAATCGTTCTGCCTCAGCCTCCCACAGTGCTGGGTTCACAGGTATGTGCCACCACACTGAGCGTAGTTTTAAAAATCTTCAGTGGGACCTTTAAGGGTAAAATATGTGTTATGTAAACTACCGTCAGTTTAGACAGCAGAAGTTATATTTGTTTTCTGTGGACAGTGAAGTGACCAGCTGCAAGGCGGGGTGCTGCTCCCTGGGTAGGCCAAAGTCAGCAGACGCGACCCCCTCTGGGCAGCCAGGCTGAGTTCTCCTTGAGCTTACTGTGAGGCTGGTGCTGCCAGGCACTCTGTAGGAACTCTGCCAGCTCCCCTGCAGCTCTGTTGTCTCCTTCCCTGTCGTGTCCCTGTTATCCTGAAATTCTGTACTCAACCCTTCTGCAAAGAAGGGTTGTAGAAAGTGAGTTCTCTGGGTATATGTTAGATACCTTACTCCTGGAAGGTATGTACGGTCTGTTCCTGGAGCTGAGAAATTTGGTCTCCACCCCAAAACCATGTAGATAGTGGAGGAAGAGGGGGGGAAAGATCTTGGGGGCTCTGTTTTGAGTTTGGAGAGGTGCTGCCTAAAGCTGGCTTTGATTTCACTTTACTTACTTAACCAGTATTTAAATGGTGCTGTGTATGCCAGGCAGTGTTTCAAGCACTTTACACATTTAGCTCATTTAATTCTCTTAACTACTTAATGAGGTAGAAGCTCTTCTTATCCTCAATTCGAAGAGGAAAAAACTGAGGCATGGCAGGTTAAATAACTTGTTCAGAGTCCTATAGCTTTTAAGATATATATTCTCAAAGAGCTACTATTTAGTGAATCTTAACATATTGAAATCATATATCCCATTTAAATGCACATTTAAAGATAGACAGTAGAGAATCTTTCAGTGAGGTAAGGAATCATCTCCAAATCAGTTTTTGTACATATGTATAAAGTTGTGAGGATCATAAGTTTGAACTCAGGCTGGGTAACTTAGCAACTTCATGAAGATCCTATCTCAAAAAAATAAAAAAAGGTTGGATGTAGCTAATGCACAGGCCCTGGGTTCAAATCCCAGTCACACACACACACACACACACACACACACACACACGCACACGCACGCACAACCAGGTGCAGCCCCTCATCCATGCACCAAGAACTGTGAGCCAAAATCAGCCTTTTCTTTATAACCTACTGCTGTGGTGTGGATATGATCTAAGTGTATCTCCCAAACGTTCATGTGCCTTTGTTTCTCACTGTGGTGGTGCTGAGGTGGTGAAAGCCTTAAGACTGGAGCTTAGTGAGAGGTCTTTGGAGGTGCTGCCCTTGGAAGGGATTCATGTAGTTCTCTTGGAACACAGTGTTCTCCAGAGGGAGTTGTTACAGCAAAACTGGCTCCTTCTCACTCTCTGGCTTCTTTGCCATGTGATCTCCCGTTCTCCATGGGCTCATGTAATAGCCATTTACCAGGAGGCCCTTGCCAGAGTTGGTGCTATGCTGTGTGGGCTGTCAGCTTCCAAAATTGTGAGAGAAATAAACCTCTTTATAAAGTACCCGGCGTCAGGTTTTTCATGTGTGTGTAGTGGGGGGAACTGGGCATTGAACCAAGAGATGCTCTTTCACTGAACTACATCCCCAGTCTTTTTTATTTTGAGACAGGGTCTTACTAAATTGCCTAGGCTGACCATCCTCCAGCCTCAGCTTCCTAAGTAGGCTAACAGGCCTGCACCACTGCAAACATGTCACTCCAGCTTCAGGTGATTTGTTATAGCAATGGAAAATGACCTAATACACTTAACCAGTCTGTGGTATTGTATTACTAGCAGCAGAAAATGGACTACGACGGAGGTCTAGCTCAGAATTCTAGGCTGACTGTTTCAAATCTGGCGGCTTTTAGTGTTCCTGCCTGATCTTCAGAGATGAGTGTGCAGAGAGGGGCAATGTAAGATAACCTGAAAGCAACTGTGGAAACTGAATTTTCAAGCATATTTTATATAAAAGGGGTTTGTAAAATACTTCTTTGAGGGGAAGTTAACAATTAAGTTCCCTGTCACTTGATTAGCCTTAGTAATCAGGTAGAAACAGAAGGCCCCTTCAAACCTTTTAAGGGAGCCTGTCAAACTGGTAGGACACTGGGAGTGGACAGCGTGGGTCTGTACATAAGCATTTCTTCCAGGAGCGGTTCCTTGGCTGTCATTAGCGTCTCTGAGTCGTGGTGGTCCCCTCTCCCCCATCCCTGACAGGCACTGTCTCTCTCAGGACCTCCACGCAAGCAAAGGCTGAGGAGGGTGGGAGCCGGGCAGCAGTTTGGCGGCGTGCCCACAGGTTTGTGAGGCCGTGTGGGAAGTCGGCTCGGGGAGCTTCTCTTTTGCTCTTCCTGGGTCCTTGGAGTCCACTGCACAAGCGGGACCTCCGAGCTGCCTGCAGCTGGAGTTCGGGCCGGCCTCTGCGAAACTCGCTTCCAGGAGGCTCGAAGCCAGGGCGCGGCCAGCTCGGTCGGGGCCTGGGCCAGAGCGGGGCCCCTAGATGCCTCGCTGCGGCCGCACGGGCTCGCACCCTCGCTTCTCACCGGAGCGCCCAGGGCGTCGCTTCGGCTGGGGGCCGGCCCCGGCGCGCACTCCTTTTCCCGGCGGAGGGAACCGGCTGGCCGCGCGGCATCCTGCGGTAGTGACGTCGCCCAGGGCCGGCCG